TGGCTGGTCTATGTAGTGAGTTCTAGGACAGCCAGTGCTACCTGGAGAAGCCATCTCAGAAAAGAAAAGAATGAAAGAGAAAGAGAACAACAAAAGGTTCACGGAAGGATTTAAGCCCACTGCCCACCTGTTCATGTTTGTCAGTGCCATGGTGAAGTCTCGATCTTTGCTGACTCAGAACACTAATACACAGGTCTTCTAAGACTGATGATTTGCTGTTCCTGCCCTAGGACCTCATCACCTCCCTGGAGGAGAGCGTGCTGGGCTGCTGGAGGGGCCTGCTGCTGCCCTGCAGTTCGGAGCCTGGCCCTGCTCAGGAGGCCTCCCGGCTACAAGAGCTGCTGCAGGACTGTGGCTGGGAGTACCCTGACTGCACGCTCCTCAAAGTGAGTCACGGAAATAAAGGGGAAGGTGGCACTCCTTTCCCAGCCTTAGCCACTAACCACTGTTCTCCCTAGGTCATTCTTAGCAGTGCCAGAACCCTCAGCAGCCAGGATGTTCAGGCCTTGGCCTATGGGCTGTGCCCAGCCCAGCCAGAGCGTGCCCGTGTGCTCCTGAGTGAGGCGGTAGAGCGGGTACAGAGCCAGGCGGCCCCGGGAAATCAGCACCTTGTATTGGTGTTAGACAAGGTACAGAGCTTCACCCCAGAGCAGTGTCCAGAGGGCAATGAGCACTAGTGAGCTCCCCTCTAGGTCCCTCAGGCGTTTTCACTTAGTGGCTGGGGATAGCAACCTTGGAAATGCTTTTCTCCCAGGACCTGCAGAAGCTGCCATGGGAGAGCATGCCCGTCCTCCGAGCACTGCCTGTCACCCGGCTGCCCTCCTTCCGCTTCCTACTCAGCTACTCCATCACTAAAGAGGTGGGGGCGGGGCCCGGGGATGCCTGGCAGCTGAGTAAAGCCTAAAGAAAGAAGGCTGAAACCCTGGAATGGTGGGAGTGGCCATTATGGGAAGGGGCTCAGAGTACGCTGGGGCTGGGGGCCTCCTGGACTGACCAAGACCCTGATTGCCAGTGCTTGCCCCGCAGGCTGGGGCTTCGTCGGTGCTGAGCCACGGTGTTGATCCACAGAATGCCTTCTATGTCCTAAACCCCCACAGCAACCTGTCAAGCACAGAGGAGAGGTTCCGAGCCAGTTTCAGCAGGTCAGGGATGAGGGTGGGGAAGGGGAGAGGCCATGCAGAGGCCACGTGTGTGTGTGCAGCTCTTTTCGTCAGCTGTTCCTCTGCCCTCTTTGCTACGTGGTGTCTGCCGAGGGCTGACTCCAGGCTTTCCCTTGCAGTGAGGCTGGCTGGAGAGGAGTGATTGGGGAAGTGCCAAGCCTTGAGCAGGTGCAGGCTGCCCTGACAGAGCGGGACTTATACGTGTGAGTGTTTGGGTGGGGAGGTGGGGGGGCACTCTGGAGGGGGGTGTCATTACCATTGCTGTGGCATTTGGAGCTCTGGAAACTGGTAAGTTGATGCCAGCCTCACTCCCCTCTGCCCTAGCTACGCAGGGCATGGAGCTGGTGCCCGCTTCCTTGATGGGCAGGCTGTCCTGCGCCTCAGCTGCCGCGCAGTGGCGCTGCTGTTTGGCTGCAGCAGCGCGGCCCTCGCTGTGCATGGGGACCTGGAGGGAGCTGGCATCGTGCTCAAGTACATCATGGCCGGCTGGTAAGGCCAAGGGCTTGTCCTGCTCTTAGGGCGGTAGAGGTCGTGCCCCCATCCTGAGGGTCCGAGCCCTGAGTGTCTCACGTGCACCTTTGCTCCTGTCCCGGGCCCTGCTAGAACATAAGCCAAGGGCGGTAGCCCCTTATTGCTTCAGGCCTTTGCTCATCTGCACCAATAGTGTGTCCCCGTGTTTTTGTTCCAGAGCCCTTACTTTACACTTCTTCATGCTTTCTTCCAAGCCCCTTGTTCCTAGGCAACCTCTGGGATGTGACTGACAGAGACATTGACCGGTACACAGAGGCTCTGCTGCAGGGCTGGCTCCGAGCAGGCCCAGGGGCCCCCCTTCTCTGCTACGTCAGCCAGGCCCGCCAGGCCCCCCGACTTAAGTTTCTCATTGGGGCCGCACCCATCGCGTACGGCCTGCCCGTCTCTCTGCAAGCACCTTGAAGCTGTCTTACCTGTGGTAGAAGCTGTGTGACTGTCTACCTCCAAACTTAGTTTTAACTATTTAGAATTTTAAAGTGATTTTTTTCCTGGTGTTTTGTATGAAATATTTTCTTTTAATATGACCTTAATAAAGATATACCAAGCCTCATTTTGTGAAAATCCAAAAGCATCTAAAGACCTGAAAGTTCCCGCCTCGTTCCTGCTGTGTGAATATTAAGCACATGGGAGGAGCTCCAGGAGTTGAGAATTTGGGGAGGAAAGACAAAACCACAGGACAGAGTTGGGTGTGGCTGGGCTTTGGGTGATAAACTGAACAGAGGACCATCAAGAAGCCCACCGCTGATCTCTGTGAGTTCAAGCCTAGTCTTTACTGTTGAGTTTCAGGCCATCCAGGGCCACCTAGCGAGACCCTGTTTCAAAAAAAGAAAAGCAAAATGCTCACTTTGGAGATAGGGGAAAGGTGCTGAGGCCGTTTTTTAAAGCCTCCATTGCCTTTGTGTCTTTCCTCAACGATTTTAGAAATGGTTGCTTATAATGGGACTTTCTTCAGACCGCCAGCTCCCAATAATGACAATAATAAAAGCTTCAGCTGGGGGTGGTGGCACACCAGTGATCCCAGCACTTGGAGGCAGAGGCAGGTGGATCTCTGAGTTCAAGGCCAGCCTGGTCTACAAAGTGAGTTTCAGGAGGGCCTATGTAGTGAGATCTTATCTTGAAAAAGCTTGGCCTTAACTTGTTTCTAAGGTTGTAGAACTTAACCCTTTTATACCTCCTCCCCCCTTTTTCTGACAGGGTCGTTTGGGGTGGTTGAAACATTTGAAAGACACTAGACAGCCTGGACAGTCGCTGACTTTTTTCTGGAGACAGGGTCTTTCTGAGTAGACCTGGCCGTCCTGGACTCACTGATTGTTCTTGATAGCACCTTTCAGTATTTTCTCAGAAGCACTTTTTATTTTATCATTTATTTTTAGATTGAAGGAATGTTTATGTGTTTCCATTGCTGCAACAAGTCACATCCTCAAATTCATGGCTGTATTAGGCACATTTAGCTTTAATTTATCTATTTGACCTGGCCCGATACCTTTGAGCTCTCTCACACTTTGTTTTGCTGGGGAAAGGGCTAAGGCTCCAACCCCCAGAAACTGTGTATTTACCTCCTGAAAAGGCCAACCAGAGGCCAAGATTTTGGTAAAGTTGCCATATCTGCTCCAGGGTCTACCGTACCTTCAATATGACTTATAAATACTTTTAGTTTTGGCCTGTGATCATCTATAGCAGTTTGACAAAATACTTGTTTTCTGGTTTCTCCTGAGTTTTACCTACTAAAATTGCTCTGACCTTGATATGTGTTAATTTTTTAAATTTATTTTTATGTGTATTGGTGTTTTGACTGCATGTGTATCTGTGAGGGTGTCAGATCCCCTGGGACTGGAGTTGTGAGCTGCCCTGTGGGTGCTGGGAATTGAGCCAGAGTCCTCTGGAAGAGCAGCCAGTGCTCTCAACCACTGAGCCATCTCTCCAGTCTGGATATCTGGTTGTTTGTCCCTTGTCGATCTGTATTCACTAATCCAATGCCAGCCTTCGCCACAACTTCTGCGTATTTCAGAAACGGCAGGCCTTCTTTCGGAATTACCTTGGTTCTGCCTGCAATTCATTTTGAAATGACTTTGGTCTTTCAGTGTTGCCACAGGCAAGACATTTGACAGTTTGACTAGTCTCAAAGCCTTTAGCGATTACATCTATTGAAGTTGCATCATAAACAGGGCATCCAGTCATCTATTGGTGCTGATCCTGCCTTTAAAAGCCTGCTCACACTGTGGCATTCAGCATTAACATCTTTGAAAGCCAAAGAGCCAATTAATGCTTGCCTAGCTTCTCAATCTGATACTTTACTTACAGCTGACGTCAACCTTTGTGGAAAAAAAAAATTAGTAAAACTTCTACATGGCTTATTCTTTTGTGTGTGTCTGTGCGAGTCTGTGTTGCATCAACTGGCGGCTTTTATTCACATATTCAAATCAGTATGTTTTTCCTGTGGAGAATGGCTTGCTCTCTAATCAGAATATGAAAAACTGAAGACTAACGCAAAATGCGACCATCTGCATTTCGGCTTGTTCTTTTTAATTTTATTTAATTCATTCCTTTAGGACTAACCAGCTTTTTCCACTTTTCTTCCCGCCTCAGATTCCTTCTCAGAGTTCCTGTCTCTGCTGGAAATCCTGCCTATCCTCTCCTGCCTTAGCAATTGGCTCTTCAGCTATTAAACCAGAGGGTGAAAAGGGGTGTTTACAAAATATGATGCAGCCATACGAATAACAATACCAAACTCCAGGGTACAGAGATTAGCATTTGAACAATACAAAGATAACCTTTACGTGGCGTACCAAAAGGCCGCACTAATTGCTCTTCGCACTAAGGCTGGTACACTTAGCGGTGCTGGCAGCAGATTCTGCGAGGTTTCAGGTTCCTGGGAAGCATGTTACCTTATATCCATGTATCATATCCTGCACACAGTTAGCTGGAGCTGGACAGCTCAGCAGGTAAGCGCTCCGGGCTGTTCTTCCAGAGGACCGCGGTTTGGTTGGCCTGCAAACACTGCGATACAAAAATATACGCAAAGGGCGAAGACCGTACGCTGTACTTGCTGGCTGGCAAAGTTGTCTCTTCGGTGTGTCCGCTTACCTGTCCTCCAGGCACTGTTTTCACATGCACCTTAGTGACTGTCAGAGCACAGGCCAGCTCCCGGCCAGGCACCAGGGTTGTCTCGCCAGCGTGACTTGCCAGGGTTTCCCTGCGGCCCAGCCCAGGGCGCAGCTTGTCCCGCTCCCCTCCGAGACGCGCGGCCATAGAGACGCCGGGCGCAGAGCGTAGCCGCGGCGGCACCACGGAGATGCCGCGGAGGCTGGCTAGAGCGGCGGCGGCGCGGCCGGCTTCCTCCCCGGCGCTCCTCCTTCCCAACATGGCGCAGTCGATCAACATCACGGAGCTGAACCTGCCGCAGCTGGAGATGCTCAAGAACCAGCTGGACCAGGTGAGGCGGTGCCCTCGCGGCGGGGGAGGCCCCGGTCCCGAGCCCGCTTCCTCGGGAGCCGCGCTGACCTTTCTTCCTGGCTCTGTAGGAGGTGGAGTTCCTGTCCACGTCCATCGCGCAGCTCAAGGTGGTGCAGACCAAGTATGTGGAAGCCAAGGACTGCCTGAGCGTGCTGAACAAGAGCAACGAGGGTATGGCTGGGCGGGTGAGGGCGCCCGGGGCAGCGGCGCGCGCCCGCCTCCGGCGCTGCGTCCCAACCCGGTTTCCCTTAGAGAAAGCTGTGCGTTATGAAGTGTGTAGCCACACGAGCCCCCTCATGTTGCCGCCTACCGAAAACCAAAATGTGCAAGAGTCCTCTCCCGCCACCTCAGTGTGGACGCTGAGCCCCGTTGGGAGGCCCCCTGAGACCTTCACGTGGGAGCGCCCAGCCTTGCCCAGCTGTCTGTCTTCATTGCTTTCACAGGAAAAGACTTACTGGTCCCCCTGACGAGCTCTGTATCCTTTCCAGCGGGAGATGCTGCTTGTCTTCCTCCTCAGCTTTCCCAAAGGGGAGAGCTTTGATTACGGTCACCCAGTGATGTTAAGTAACGTAAACCGCACCGTTCCCTTGGCCAGTCTTGGATCGGTGTCCACCCAATGTTTTCTATCAGAGTTCAGTGAAGGTTGACGTGTGGTGTCTCTCTTTGCTGTTTGGGATGTTAGTCTACTACGGAGAGAAAGCTGGCGTTCTGCTAACGAAATGGAAACATGGTAGGGTATTGGAATTGGGAAATTGCCCCTTTTCTCGGTTTCAGCGTAATTGCGGCTCATTTCTCAAGTGCTTTCACTGTGAACCCCGGTTGGTCTCATGCTGGCTAGTTTCCCCTAACCCTGGCTTCAGATGTACGTCCCTGGGAAGCTGCATGACGTGGGACATGTCCTCATTGATGTGGGCACTGGCTACTATGTGGAGAAGGTGAGGGGAGGCGGGGCATGTCCCCGGAGGGTGAAGGGAGCTGAAGGGAGGGGCGCAGTGAAGGCCGGCTCTCCTCCTCCCATTCACCTCCAACCTTGCAGACAGCTGAGGATGCCAAGGACTTCTTCAAAAGGAAGATAGACTTCCTTACCAAGCAGATGGAGAAAATCCAACCAGCCCTGCAGGAAAAGCACGCCATGAAACAAGGTAAGCTCTGCCCAGGGTGCCTCGTCATTATATCTACTCTTGTCTGTAAAGTTGTATTTGTCACTGTTTGTGTGGGAGAGAGAAACAGACAGACAGACAGGAGGAGAGAGAGAGAAGGGGAACAGGAATGCCACGGTACCTGTGTAGAGGTTGGAAGAAAATTTTCAGGAATTGGATTTTTCCTTGCATTCTGGGTTCTAGGGATTAAACTTTACCAGCCTTGTGTGGCAAGCACTTTCAGCTGTTAAAGCCATCTCACAGCCCCTTGGGAACCTCCTGACCCTTTCTACCTTCATGGTAAAGAAAAGTCATTGCATAGGGCATGATGGCACACATACAAACGCAAAGAACCTAGAACACGGGTTGTAACAGGAGCTATCCTCTCCAGGGCAAAACCATGTCTCTGCCGGAGGTAGCAGTGCGCACCTGTGAGCCCAGCACTGGGGAGGCAGAGGCAGAGACACACATCTCTGTGTGTCAGAAACAACAAAGAGATGTTTCTGTGTGTCTTTGGTGTCCTGATGTGTCATCTAGATTCTGAGAGTGACGTTTGTAAGGGTCTGAGTACTTGAGAAGAAAAATCTGTTAATGAGTTAGGATAAAAAGCCTGTAAACACAGGGATCTGCTGAGTAAGTGCCAGCAGTTACCACCTAAGCTACATAGAACAGTCCTCTAGGCAGTTTAAAAAGAAAATCTAAGTCCAGTTCAAACCAACTAAATCAGTCTGGAAAGGGCATTATGGGAACCTACTCAAGGAGGCAGTTTTGTTATTAAGCTCCTGATGTTAAAGCCAGGGGAGGGCTGATGGCTTTTTTTTTTATTTTTGTTTACAGACAGAGTCTCATTGAATACTATGAACTAGAGAATAGAATGTAGACTAGACTATACACTAAGAATCTATAGCCTATTCAGGCCTAGAAGTCAAGGCAATCCATGTGCCTCATCTGATTTTTAATTTTTATATTATTGTTGTTATTGTTTTTCAAGACAGCGTTTCTTGTAGCCTTGGCTGCGCTCACAGTGCTCCGCAGTGGTGCTGAGGATGGAATATGGACCTCCACTGTCGTATCGTGCCCTCACATGAGGTGTTTCTGGTTATGGCTAATGTTGTGCACGTTTTTTTATATTCCAGTGCTTAGCATACCGACTGACAACAGTGTAGATTCTAAATCTGTGCGTGTGCGCCCTCCACAGTTTAACTGGCAGTGTTCCTTGGGTTCTCCAGCACACTTCCTGACCAGGCTGTGACTCTTCCTTCTTTTCTCTTAGCTGTCATGGAAATGATGAGCCAGAAGATTCAGCAGCTCACAGCCCTGGGGGCAGCTCAGGCTACTGCCAAGGCCTGAGAGCGAGCCGCGGAAACAAAGCAGAGGAACCCTGTTTCAAGGGGCCTGGGACTTTTTGGGCAGTGGCTGCCTGGTGTCTGGGAAGAGAGGGTCTCGGGTGTGATGTCAATAAATGTGCCAGCTGGGCGAATGGTGGGCGTCTTTTGTTTAAACGTGGCGGTGGTGAGCTGGGGGTGGCCAGAGGGTGTACCCGGGTGAGGGTCCAGCTGGGGCTCTGCGGAGCACGCTCCTTTCCGGTTGCCGTGGGGACGGCTGGCAGGCGGAAGTGAGGATGCGGCCGACGCTTCCGTTTCCGGGGCGTGCTTCCCGGGGAGGGAGGCGCATGGGCCGTCGCTTCCTGCGCGCTGTCCTCCGGCTGTGGCCGCCGCGGTCTGCGCTGCAGGCCCCGCGCCGCATGCTCGGCCCCGAGTCCAGTCCGCCCCCGAAGAGACGCTGCGGCGGCATGGCGCCGGCCCGGATCGGCACGCACGGCGGCACCTTCCACTGCGACGAGGCGCTGGCCTGCGCGCTGCTCCGCCTGCTGCCGGAGTACCGGGTACGGCCGCGCGGGGCCCCCGCGGAGGGCGGGCCGCCCGCGCCCCTGCGGACGCGCAGCCCGCGGCAGCCCGCTCTCTGTGCCTGCAGGACGCGGAGATCGTGCGCACGCGGGACCCCGAGAAACTGGCCTCGTGTGACGTCGTGGTGGACGTGGGTGGCGAGTACAACCCCGAGCGACACCGCTACGACCACCACCAGAGGTGAGCGCGCAGACGGGGCTCGCGGCTCCTGGATCCCGGGCTCGGGTCCCGCCCGGGCCCCGCCGCTGCTCTCCGTTCTCCTGCCCTTGCCACGGGCTGCAGGAGCCTAATGGTTGACAGCCCACTCGCGTGGCCTTCGGCTGTATTTTGTGTGCGTGGGTGTCTGGCCTGCATTCGCGTCTGTGCGCCAAGTGCGTCGGCGCCCACGGAGTCCCCTGGAATCGCAGTTAGCGGGTTGTGAGACACCACGTGGTGTGGGTGACTCCGCCCCCTCCCCCGTGTCATTATCAACCTGACAGTCTAGATTCTGTTGTGACCTGGGAAGTGGGTCCTTGAGGGATTATCCAGGTCGGGCGTGCCCCTGCGCGTGTTTGTGGGTGTCCTGATTGACGTGAGACCGCCCTGCCCGCTGCGGGAGCCGCTGATCCCTGGGCAGCTTGAGTGGAGGAAGCAGGCCCAGCGCTGCGGGCGTGCGCCTGTTCCCACTCTGCTCTAAGTTCTGCCGCCTTCCCTCCCTGACAGGCTGTACCCTGCCAGGTGTTGTGAGCTGAAATAAACCTTCTTTCCCCTAAGCTGATTTTTGTCAGGTGTTTTGCCCCAGCTGCCTCTGTCCCCGGCACGATGGTGCCTTCACCTCAGACACCTGCTCACTCTTCTGTAAGAAATTAGCTTTTCACTTTCCCACCTCCCACAATTTCACAACTCCTTCCAATTTAGGAAAGTTTGTTCCCTACTATTGTGTTTTTTCCAGAAAGAGTTTATATGTAGCCCTGGCTGTCCTGAAATGTCCTCAGATTCACAGAGATCTGCCTGCCTCTGCCTCCCAAGTGCTGGGATTAAGGGTATGCCACCATGCCTGGTTTCTTTTTTATTTTTTAAGTTAATCGCATCTGTATAGAATATGGACAGTCTTTTCTTGTCCTCTTACCCAGGGTCTGCATCCTGTTAGGCATACGTAATCCAGAAGATGCAGGACCAGCAAGGCAGGGTTAAAGGTCGTCATTTGTTAGCTGTTTTGAGCCTGTCCTGGATCACGTAAGACCCACTCTCACCAAGTAGGAAAAGAACTGCAGCGAAGTATGATGTCCTGCACCTTCGCTCTCAGCCCTGGAGACAGAAGCAGGTAGATCTTTGAGTTTGAGGCCAGCCTGGTCTAAGAGTAAGTTCTGGGACAGCCAGGGCTACACAGAGGAAGCCTGTGTACAAAAACAAACATATACAAGAGAATGGGCATAGTTTATAGTCAGACACTTTACACAAGAACTTGAGCATCTAGAGGTTGGGTCCTCGGGGTCCTGGCACACTGGTCCAGTCATCCTGTTTTTTCATCAGGGTCCAAGTTGGCCTGGAATTTAAGATCATTGTGTCAGAGCCTCTCTAGTGGGGATAAAGTGCACATCACCACACCAGTGACCGTGAGCTCTTTGCTCTGTTGTTTGTCCACCTGTCCCTGATGAACTGGACAGAACAGGCTCTAAGGTCTTCATGTGAAAACAAGACCTGACACAGTACGCAGTGAGTCAGTCCTGGCAGGCGGGATGCAGGTGCTGTCGGCGGGGCCCGAGCTGGCGCTGGAGGAAAAGTGCCTTTCACCTCCCTGTCCTGGCAGCACTCCCCACCCTGCCAGGCCCCAAGTCTCCACACGCAAACCCTGGGCTCATGGTCACCGCAGCCCCTTCCTGTGCTCCTCAGGACTTTTGCAGAAACGATGAGCTCCCTGTGCCCTGGGAAGCCATGGCAGACCAAGCTGAGCAGTGCAGGACTTGTCTATCTGCACTTTGGCCGTAAGCTGCTGGCCCAGTTGCTGGGCGCTGGTGAAGAGGACAGCGTGGTGGACACCATCTATGACAAGGTAGGGGCCTGTGGACATCCGTCCCTGCCAGGCTTGCTCGTGATTTCCGAGGTTAAGACCACCCGGCGGGCAGCGGGACGACAGGCTTGGACGTGGCGCTGAAGCAGCAGCCACGAGTTGTGCATCTGGGTTGGCAGGCAGCAGCAGAATAGCACTGAGCCCGGCTTGGTCTCTTGGAACCTCAAAGAACCCCCTCCCCATGACACACTTTCTCCAACAAGGCCATACTCCTAATCCTTCTAAAGTAGTGCCACTACTCCCGGAGGACTAAGCCTTCAAATACAGAAGCCTCTGGGGCCATTAGCATTCAAACCCATCAGGCATCTTTGTTCCTTCAGCCTGTATCCTGAGTTGGGGGCGAGGACTGGGCATCAGTGTCTAGGAAGGGGCTCTTAGTATTTTTTATTTTGAGATAGGTTCTGCCAGTGGTGCTCAGGCTGGTCTTGAACTTATGACAGTATGCTTGCTTCCCCATCTTAAGTGCTGGGAATATAAGTGTACAATACCACACCATTCTAGAGAAGGGCTTTAGAAGCAGCATTTTCCAGTCTTTCTCTGACACACATCAAAGAACAATGACTCCAGGTGTGGTGATGCCCACTTTACCCAACACTGGAGAGGCTTAGACAGGAGGATCTTGAATTCCAGGCTAACTCGGACCCTTCCTCAAAAACGGAATTATTGGGTATCTCTGGGTACATAGCCGAGGCTGCTCACACTCAGGAGACACTGGGCTCAGATCCTGCCTCTGGATGACTCAGGCTGACACGGGAGCTGGTAAGCTCTGCCAGAAAGGAACATGTTACAGACAGGCAAGTCTGAGGCTCAGGCCAAACAGTACCAAGGTCAGCGCTCCTCAGGGTGTTCCCATGGGAATCCCATCCTGCCTCAGCTCACACAGCAGCCCGAGATGCCGGGCAGCTTAGGCTTGCTTCTCCGGTGTCTCCAGACTGTGGGTTAAGAACTTCGGGAGTGGCAAGGCTTTAGAGCCCTGGGATCAGCTTTCGTTTTCAGTGCTAGAGCTGCCGCGCCTAGAGGAGTCCTTCAGGGCTCCCTGAGGTCAGCGCCTTTTGTGCCTATCACACCTGAGCGGCATGGTGCCTGCTTCCTAGGGCCGTTTCTCATCAGTATGTCACTGGCTCTGCCCTAGAATTTGAGGCCTTGTACTGTTTCTTCAGGCAGACGTCGTAATTTATGGTATATCATGACTCCATCTGCGCCTCGCTCTGCTCTTGCTATCAGGCAGCCACTTTCCCGCCTAACTGGGGGGCTAGGCCACCCCCTACCTCACTGATTGCAGTGCGGCCTACTCAGCCGCCTCCTGGCCCAGGGATCCATCCCCGCAGGGTTCTAGGAACTGAAATCCTTGTCCGAAAGGCAGTAGCCAGCTGGAGGTTAAGAGCAGGGGCTGCTCCCACCGAGGGCTATAGTGAAGGAGTGTGTACTTCCGTCCTGTGAAACCTAAGCCACCTTCAGGTGTCAAGTGCCTCTCCCCTGTTGCTGCTTTAGATGTACGAGAACTTCGTGGAGGAGGTGGACGCAGTGGACAACGGGATCCCTCAGTGGGAAGACGGGGAGCCCCGCTATGCCCTCACCACTACCCTGAGTGCCCGGGTTGCTCGGCTCAATCCCACCTGGAACCAGCCCAACCAAGACACTGAGGTAAGAGCCCAGGAAGCCCTAGTCAGAACTGCAGAGGACAAAGCGCAAGAAAGGTTGGTCTGTCCAAGTCCTGTGAAGTAAAATTTAGGCCAGTGCCCAAACGTCTGTGGTTTCCCCGTCCTTCCCAGGCAGGGTTCAGGCGCGCGATGGATCTGGTGCAGGAGGAGTTTCTGCAGAGACTACATTTCTACCAGCATAGCTGGCTGCCAGCTAGGGCCGTGGTAGAGGAGGCCCTGGCCCAGCGATTCAAGGTAGGCCCGGGAGGTGGCTCGCCGCCAGGGCTGGCCTGCACTCTGTCCCCCCACCCTCTTGCTCCTACCCGAACCCTATAGCCACATCCTCTCCCTTTCAGGTGGACACCAGTGGGGAGATAGTGGAGCTCACTAAAGGTGGGTGCCCTTGGAAGGAGCACCTATATCACCTAGAATCTCAGCTGTCCCCCCCAGGGGCCATCTCCTTTGTTGTCTACACTGACCAGGCTGGACAGTGGCGAGTCCAGTGTGTACCCAAGGAGCCTCATTCGTTCCAGAGCCGGTGAGTCCTGTTGTAGGGCACTGTGGTTCGGGTGGTTTCTCCTTCTGAAACTCAGATACCTAGGCCACACAGCGAGGCTCTTCTCTGACAGCTCATACCTTAACCCTTTATACTAATCTACGTTTTACCACATGGCTGGTTACCTGAGCTCAGGCACCAGGCACCCATCTTCCTCACATCATGCTGGCTGCAGCGCCCCACCTGTCTATCCCTGAATCTTCTCTGCCTGCCAGAAGGCCCACCTATTTCCTGCCTCAGCCATAGGACACAGGTTTCTTGGCAGGTGTTGCATCCATACAGGAGTCCCCACAGAACTACCCTACCCTCAGGTCTGTTTAGCATTGTTGGAAGCTGCCACCTGTGTGTGACATGTGCCGTCCTCCTATGAGCCCCTCATGCCTCCATTTGTTCTTACGTAGGTTGCCCCTGCCAGAGCCGTGGCGGGGACTGCGGGATGAGGCCCTGGACCAAGTCAGTGGGATCCCTGGTTGTATCTTCGTCCATGCCAGTGGCTTCATTGGTGGACACCACACCCGAGAGGGTGCCCTGAACATGGCCCGTGCCACTCTTGCCCAGCGCCCAGCACCTGTGCCTCTTGCAAATGCTGCAGTACAATAAAACATGCTCCTCTGACTCAGTTCCTGACCACCAACCTGGGACGCTTCAGACTTGTAAGCGCAGCCTGTCAGGTGCAGAACCCTGGTGCTACCCATCTCCCTACCGGTGTCCTGGCACTCCAGCATGCAACTATCTACAACTCCAGTTCCAGGGCATCCAACACCCCTCTGACCTCCGTGGGGTAGACACACTCGTGGCACACATTCAGCCAACACATAAAGCAGTAAATCCTGAAAAAAACCCTCCCAGGACTAACTTGACCAAATGCACAGCAGCTGGAAAGTGACAGCGGAACCGTAATCGGGTCCTGCTCTGTTTACCCCAGCAGCAGGCTAGGAGAAAATGCAGCCCGCAAACGAATAGAATACACGGCTTTATTTACAGGTGGGAGTGAGGGGAGTGGGGCTGGGCAGGTGGGAGGCCTGGGAGGGGGTCCCAAGGGGCAGAGGTCGGTGATGTCTCAGTAAAGAGTGGCACTTCATGAACAGAGCCTCCGCCTCCAGCTGGGGGCTCCTGGGCCCGGCCAAGAGGAGGACTAAATCTCGGAAACTGAGCATTAACAAAGTACAGAGGGGTGTGGGTGATCCGGCCTGAGGACCAGCACTGCAGAGAACGAGAAAGACCCAAAGTGGCAACCTTGTAGACGCCATGACCCTTGGGCCTTCAGCCAGCCTGAGGACAGCTTCACACCGACACGTGCACACAGCCTCGCCCTGCCTACTCACCACACTGAGCAAGGCCCCCTTGTTGAAGGAAGGATGGAAAGTGATGAGCTGAGCCTGGGCTCCGGGTTCCCCCTGAATAATGCCACTATGGCAAAAAGAGGAAGAGGTAAGAAGCCAGCGAAGGCAGGGAGTTTGTGCAGGTGTGAGATGCTGTGGAGCTCAGAGCCAGAGCTCTGCTCTGCACTTACCAGGGAAGTAACTCAAACACGGGGCTGTTCCGAGTTCGGAAAAGGAGGATAACAGGGTTCCCATCCTGTACCCGTGGGTTTCCTGTAAGAAATGGTCAGCTAGCACAGGAACACTGGGCCCAGAAGGCAAGGCAATGAACAGGCGCCCTGATGCTACCAAAATCTATTAGGCTGTGGCTCAAGAAAGGCCCTCTCTAGTTGGGTGTAATGGCCTTTAAAGGCAGAGGTGGGCAGGCTTGTGAGTTCCAGGACAGCCACATCTCAGATCTTTTCTCAGAGACATTTTCTTTATTCCTACCTTTCATGAGCACAGCCAGACGCTCTCCACTGGGGTCCCAAACCATGGAGTGGGCCTCCCCTCCGAGCCTGTGATAGAAGGACGGGGCAGTCAGTGTCTGTCCCACTCATCACTCCTGCCACGGCCACTCCAACTCACCTCTCCTCTCCATCTGGGGTCTGTATTGTTGTCTCAGAAAGATCGGCCACGATTGTTGCTGATGCTGCACCTCCAACATGGCCCTCCTCTGTTCCTGTCGGGGCAGTCTCCTGGCTTCTGTACCCCATCCCTCAGTGCAGCCCACAGGGCGCTGTCCCGCCCGCCCCAGCCTGTGGTCTGAAGTCTTAACTCACCACTTCGACCTGGGAAAGACAGGGAGTAAATCAGCGCCTCCCCCAGGACTGTGAACAGCAGTCGCTCTCCATCCGGACTCCAGCAGCCAGTCTAGGGGCAAAGGAAACGACAGGAAGGCCTGCAGGAGGGCTACGTCAGGAGGGAGAGCAGAGAGGGGAGCCATGCACGGGGCACCCAGGCCCGTCAGAGTTCCCTCCTCAGCCCTTCTTACCTGACAGCGCCCCGAGAGAGTTGGCCACCTCTCACAAGTCCACATCTGGGCCTCCCAGACTCTGAGCCAGAGACAACAACACAGGCTCAGGCTCCAAGTTCACAGTCACAAGGTCGAGTCCAGAAGCCAAGCGCCTTTGTCTCAGTTCTTGGCCTCCCCAGCTTTCACCCACTCACCGGAAAACAGCTGATGGCGTAGTAGCCAGGACTTTGCTGCCATCTGGGGACCACACCAAGTTGGTGACCCCTCCTCCTCGGAACCAAGGAAGGGGCACACAGATTTCTGTTGAGACATCCCATACCTGAGAGAGGGAAGTGATAGAAGGACGGGGCAGTCAGTGTCTGTCCTCCAAACACTACCAACCAGCTCACGGTGGGCTACCCTCTTCCACACAAAGGCCCAGAGAAGGGGAAGCAGCAAGACAGAGTGCTCAGCGTGAGGACATGGGTTCATGAGTACACAAGAGTTGGCAGTTTCAACCTGAGGAGTCCAGATGAAACTCCTCCATCATATAAAACAGACAAAGAAGGCTCAGCACTGAGGGTGGGCCCAACTCACCAGAATAGCAGCATCCACCGGTGAGGCAGAGAGTAGCCGTCCCCCATTGGGGGCCCAAGCCAAGCTGGTGACTGGTGCGTGCCCAGGGTGAGACAGCACCTGGGCGCAGCCAGAGGAGGGTCTGCAGGAATAAACAAAAGGGGCAGAGGGGAAGATGGCGAACAAGCGTGTCAAGGGGGTAAAGAAAGGGAGAGCGGCGAAGAGCGCTTGCTGTTTTCCCAGAGGGTGGTCTGGCTCCCAGCACTCACTGCACCTGGCTCGCAACCGCCTGTGACTCCAGGGTCTCAATGCCCTCTTCTCTCTGCTAGCACCCAGACAACACAGAAGTAAAATGCAAAGCCCCATCATGATTCCATTTCCTTGCTTTGCTGGACGCCCTAATTCATGGCCTCTCATGTCAACCCACACTGGCAAAAACGAAGGCTTCTGGTGGAGGTTAAAGGAAGTCTATGGAGAACCTGGGTTTGCGGGGCAGGAGCCAGGGTAAGGCAGAAGATGCTCCCGCCAGGTAGGCCTCAACGGGGCTGTGCTGAGAGTGAAGTCCACACCGACCGGGCTGGAGCCACCTCACATGACCTCAAACACCCACCTCTGCTCCTCTTCTCACCCAGCGCCCTAACTGCCTTTGCCAGAGCATCCTCCATGCGCCCACAGCCTTCTACTTGCCACAAAGAGCCGCATGGGCCCCTTCCATCCCCGGGTGCACATCCCCTAACAGTACCTGCTGTGTGCTCTTCAGTGCTGCGTCAGAGCCGGCGCCCTGCCTCTTCCCTCTCCACTTTAACTCTTGAAGCCCTTGTCACTGACACGTGACTCAACTGTACAGTGAATGACAACTGTCCTTTCAAGTCAGCTCAGAGCTCAACTTACCTAGGAGCTCCCTGTCCCCGTAGCCTGTTCACCAGCCCTCTTTAAACACACACTGGGACTGCTTATGTGGCACTGTGCCCAGCCTTGACTTCCACTACTGTAAATACTGCTATAAAAGTTCAATCTTCAGAACCCACGGAGCAAGGATAGCACAACTCCCAAATTTTGTTTTCTAGGCTTGAAGTGGAGGCACACACCTTTAATCCCAGCACTCAGGAGGCACAGGCAGATGAGTCTCTGAGTTCAAGGCCACTGTGGTCTACAGAGTGCGTTCCAGGACAGCCAGGGCTACACAGAGAAACCCTGTCTCTAAACCAAAACTGAACCAAAGTTGTTCTCTGACCATCGGATGAAAGGAGGCACACACACATAATACATTTTGAAACATTTTTTTTAATTTGAAAAGGGCAACCCAGGGCCAGAGAGATGGCTCAGCAGTTAGAATATGTACCTTTTTCCCAAAGGCCCCAAGTTTGACCGCAGCAAGTGCTTCAGGCGGCTCACTGTCTATAACTCCAGCAGACAGGAGTCACTGGATCCACTGCCTCCAGCCTCAGGGGCAGGTGCTTCTGTGCACACACAGGCACGCGCGCGCACACGCACACACGCACACGATTGAAAGAAGTCTTTCACTGTTTTATGTGTGTGGCTGTTTTGCATGCCTGCATGTCAGTGCTCAGATGCTTGCGGTGCCAAGAATGGCCAGAAGAGGGCATCAGGTCCCCAAACTTCTTATCCCCGTGGAGAATAGCCATCTCCACATTTCTAAAATAACATTTTAAAGGGTAGCCTGTTTTTTGTTTTGTTTTTTGTAGCATCCTTGCTGCAAGAATTGTTTATCTACTTCTCAATCAAACTTTTCTGGCTTCTCCTTTAAAAAAAAAAAATCCAATTTTCTAGGAAAGGGCCTGGACAGATGGCTAAGTGGTTAAGGGCACTGGCCGCTCTTCCAGATCCAGGTCCACTTCCCAGCAACCACACGGTGGCTCACAACTGTCTGTAACTACAGCCCCAGGAGCACCGTCCTCTCTGGCCTCGTTAGGCACGCATGCACATGGTATTCAGACATACAAAATTTAAAAAATAAACCTCACTTTGTAAAAAGTTCTCAGGAGAAGCTGGGTGTGTGGTATACTCCTAAGATCTTTTCACTTGGGAAGCAGGTGGATCTCTGTGAGTTCAAGGCCAGCCTGGTCTACAAAGCAAGTCCGGGACAGCCAAGGCTACACAGAGAAACCCTGTCTTAGAAAAAAAAATCATTAGAAAAGAAAAGAGTTCAAGGCCAGCCAACCCTACCTATACTGAAGTTTGAGGTCAGTGTTGCCTAATTAAACCCTGTTTCCACACATGACTCAGTGCTACCACAGCTCCAAAGCTCTGTGCCTTTCTATACAACTAAATGATTACAACAAAAAGCAACTCAAGAGAGAATAGTAACAAAAAGAAGACAGGGCATCAACAGAAACACTTGTTAGATCCACGTAATTTCTAATCTTAGCTAACAGAAATGGACAGCAGGGCAGTGGTGGCTCCCACAATTAATCCCAGCACTCAGGAACAGGGCCATTTGGATGGCCGAGTTCCAGGCCAGCTTGTCTGCAGAGTGAGTTCCAGGACAGCCAGGGCTACACAGAGAAAGCCTGTCTCAAGAAGAATTAAAAAGCAACGGAGGGCACCAGCTTTGCTCTCCGAGAAGCTGACGGGGTGGCACAGGATGCTGACACAGCCACTGAATTGAGGGTATACCGAAACACACCAGGCATGGTGGTCCACCCTTCAATCCCAGCACAGAGGAGGCAGGTCAAGGCAGGTCAGGCTCTGTGAGCGCAAGACTAGCCTGGTCCACAAAGCACGTTCTAGGCCAATCAGGACTACATAGAGAGATCATGTCAAAAAAAAAAGTATACTGAAACTTAGTAATTTTATAACTTCTCTATAAAGACTAAGCTAAAATAGGGCTGGCAGGGGAGGAAGAGAGAAAGAAAAATGGAGGAGGGGCACAGACAGATGGCACTAAAACCTTAAGACCTGAGGTCAACCAATCCCAGGGAACCACGGAGGACAGAGGGACCAACTCCTCAGAGTGTCGTATGGCCTCACACTGGAGCTATGGCACGTGTTCCCACAGACACTGAATGAATGTATTTGTCCTTTTTTTAAAGACAGTTTCTTTGTGTAACAGTTCTGGCTGTCCTGAAACTCCCTTTGTAGACCAGGCTGGCCTTGAACTCACAGAGATCACCTGCCTCTGCCTCCCAATGCTGGGACTAACGGTGTGTGCCACCATGAGCAAAAACAATTTACTGTTGCAAACCTCCCTTTCCTCCACTACCACCAACCACTCCCGCCCCTCTCTGAGCTGTTCTCAGGTGTCATTCTGTAGCCCAGGGCAGCCGCGGCCTTCTGGGCTGAGGCGGCCCTGTCGCCTCCGACCCCGAGGGGCTGCGGCTGCAGGGGATGCGCAATGCTACCCTTGGCTCTTCCACACCTTACGCTGGCCAAAACGTTTTCTTGGCTCTTGTTTTTATTATTTATTTATTTTTGGGAGGGCAGTGTTTCCAGACGGGATCCCTCCGGTGTGTAGCCATGGTGTCCTGTCCCGCACTCAGGAATCAAGTGCACCACCAGCACTTGAGGACTGTTCCAGTTTTAGTTTCTGCTCGGGTCTGTGCCCGCTCCTTGTCGTACTTGGCACCCTAACAGCTTGCCACCACAGATATGTCCTGCCATGCTCCCAGAGACGTCTAAGTCCCTCTGTCCAGACAGAGCATCCTAGGACCCCGCCTGACCTTAGGTCTGCCCCTCCAACAGCCCTGGGGAAGTGCTGTGAGGAGGTAACTTGCAGGCCCCCATGGGCCCCTGGCATGACCCTCACCAAGGTCAGGCCAGGCTGCCAGGACTCACCTTGTGGATAAGGAGGTGGGGTCCAGGGTCCAGATGAGAATACAGCTCTGGCATGCCACAGCCAAGATGGAGGCACTGAGGGGCTTCCAGGCCAGGGCTGCGACATTCCGCTGCAGACGATGCTTCAGGGAAGGAACGATGGTGCTAAGGTAAAAAGGTAGGAACTGAGTCAAAGCAGGGACACTGAGCTCAGAAAACCCGAGTCCAATCAGAAGATTAAACAAGAGGCTGGAGAGATGGCTCAGTGGTTAACAGCACTGGCTGCTCTTCCAAAGGGTGTGGGTTCAGTTCCCAGCACATACATGCGAGTTCTTACAGCTCCCAACTGTTTGTAACTCCAATTCCAAGGATTATGTTGCCCTCTTCTGGCCTCCACAGGTACTGCATGCAGCCATACATGCAGACAAAACACTCAAACATAAACAAGACAATTTTTAAAAATTTTAAAGGCGGCAAACAGGCTGCAAGTGATGGTGCACGCCTTTAATCCCAGCCCTCAGGAGGCAGGTGCAGGAAGATCTCTGAATCTGAGACCAGCCTGGTCTACCAACTGCCAGGGCTACACAGAGAAACCCTGTCTCAAAAAAAAAGAAAAAGAAAGAAAGAAAGAAACTGGAGATGGCTCAGGAGTTAAGAGCACCGACTGCTCCTCTAGAGGAGCCAGGTTCAAGTCCTAACACCTATATGGCAGCTCACAAATGCCCGTAACTCCCCCGCATGCACATGGTGTACATATATGTTCATGCAGGCAAAACACCCAGACGCGATAAACAAGGGAGAAGGCAGCCCCGGTAGGGGCTGGTCGAGAGCACAGATATTTTAAGACAGAGCAGAAGGTAAAGGCCAGGTGCACACCGGGCGTCCTGGTGCACGTCTTTAATCCCAGCGGTCGGGAGGCAGAGACAGGTGCAGCCGAGTTTGCGGCCAGCAGAGACTGTCTCAGAAAACCCCTCAGCGGTAGGAAGGCCACGTGGCCTGAACCTGCCCTCCGCCCGCCCACGCACCTGCTGGCGTTGTACACGCGGATGGAGTCGTCCAGCAGAGCCACTGCAAACTTGTTGGTGTGCGGATGCCACGCAAAGACGCGGAGGCAGCAGCTAGCCCTGCAGGGAAGCACAAGGCCCACCACGGCCCGCGGCTCAGCCTCTCCCACTCGGGAAAGGGCCTTCAGGCTTGCTTTATCGTTCGGGGGTGGGGGGTGGGGGGCGGGGGTAGCAACATGGGAGGAAAGGGCGGCCTTCATCTCGAAGCTTGAATTCCATCCAGGAAGCCAAGGGCTGACACAGTCAGGCTGTGGCTACTGCCTCGTTTTTTCTTTCTTTCTGGAGGGTGTGGTGGGGTAATTAGGTTCGAGGGCTTTTTGTTTTGTTTTTGAAAGTGTCTTACTATGTATGTTTAGCTGTCCATAAATCACCATATTGACCAGGCTGGCCTCTACCTCAGAGATCCGCCTGTCTCTGCCTCCCCCAGTGCTGGGATCACAGGTGGGCACCACCGTACCGGGCTCAGTCTGACTTCTTACAGCACCCAGGACCAGTAAGCTGGGCCTTCCCACATCACCATTAACAAGGGCACACCCGCACAGACCTGCCCACAGGTTTCCCCTTTCCAAATGACACTAGTCTGTGTCAAGCTGACATAAAATCCGCAGAAGGAGGTGGGAGGGGGGACAGCATGGAGAGTGGAGGCTCAGCCTTGACGGCTCTCTCCTCAGAGCACCCTTCCCAGCTCAGAACTTGCCCCTCGGTCACCAGAGCTTATGCACTCACCAGTTAGTTACTTGGGAAAATTCAGAGATCAGATCTTCACTCCTGAGCTGAAAGAACAGCAGAAGACAGGAAAGGAGCTTACCTATTCAGCACCCCCACCTTCTGGGTCCAGCCACAAAGGAAAGGGGGGGGGTCAAACTTACAGACAGGTGTGGGAACAGGGAGCCGTGCAGGGAGGAGGCGCATCGGCAGACGGCCAGGGCCCAGCTGCAGGCTGTCTTCACCCATTCAAACACTGTGGTGTCAAAGAGACTGGGTACAGCGCTCACCGCGCTGGCACTGGTCATACCCTTAGATGAAGAGTGTCAAAACTCTTCAGCCCTGGGCCAGCAATGAATGGGTTTGGATACCAGAACCCACTCTGGGTGAGTAACGGAAAATGTGGAGAAGGGCAGGCTAACAAGAAGAGGGGCCACAGAGAATACTTACCTTCTTCCTCTGAATTTGCAATTTCATTCAGGACTCCAAAAAGGCCCATATCCCGCCTCACGGGGAGAAAAAGATAAAGAATTACTCTATCCTGTCGTAAGCCCTAACAGGTTTCATTTATTCAACAAACATACATTAAAGAGGGTTGGGGTGTGTTGGGCTCAGTAGGTAGAGTACCTGCCTAGCGTGAATAAAGCCCTGGGTTCAAGCCCTACCAGCACATAAAATCAGATGTGGTAGCACAGGTGTGTGACCCCAACACTGAGAAGGTATCTGGGAGGATTACAAGTTCAAGACCCTGAGCAACAGAGGGAGAATGAGGCCAGCTTGGGCTATATGAGGCATTACCTCATTATTTTAATAGAGAAAAAAAGGAAGCCAGATAGTGGTGGCTCACACCTCTAATCCTAGCACTTGGGAGGCAGAGGTTGGAGGGTCTCTATTTCAGGCCAGCCTGGTCTAGTTCCAGGTCAACCAGAGCTGTTATGCAGAGAAACCTTGTCTCAAAAACCCAGAAAATTTTAAAAAGAAACAACTTAAGGGCTTCTCAGAAAAAAACAAACAAAAAACTGAAGTAGCCTGAATTTGTGGGAGACGGGAGAGACGAATTCAAGAAACATAGGAAGCAAATACACATATCTGTGGAACAGTTAAGGTATGAGTGAGCCCAAGAGTAACATTCTGAGAAACATGTGGCGGTGATTCCATCAGCAAATACGTCTATAGAGTGTGAGGCCCTGGGCCTGCTGTTTCCACAGTCCACTTGCCACAACCCTATTGCCCAGTGTCTTTTTGGTTTGGTTGTTTCTGAGAGAGTCTCATGGAGTCCCTGCTGGGCTCAGCCTTGCTACGTAGTCAGGAATGACCACAAGCTTTGACCCTCCTGCCTGGTGTTGAGATTACCAGCACCACTCCCCATTTCCTGTGGTGCTAGTGACTGAGCTCAAGGCTTCCTGCATGCCAGGCAAGCACTCAACTGAGCTCCCTCCCAAGTCATGCATGACAACTTTAATAAAAGAGGATTGGCAACAACTCACAAAGTAACAAATGGACACAACTGATGAACCCAGCAACCCAGGGACCCTGCTGACATAATGGTGACAGCAGACATACCAAGGGATTAGTATGTGCCAGAAATGCCTCTAAGTGCTCCTACATCTATTCAGTCACCACACTGTAAAAGGGCTGTTTGAGGACACAGTCATTAAGTAACGTTTCCAAGGCTACACAGCTGAAAATGATAGTCAGAAACGAGGTAACACTGCTTCAACTCCTAATCCAGGTGGACCAATACAACCTTTTCCTAACTGTCCTGAGCTTCAGATAAAAGCCCAGGATGAGTAGTGCATGGCCTAAGATGGGTGCTGGGAGCGGGTCTGTAAAGCCGAGCCAAGCCTGAGGGATAAACGAAGCGTCAGGTAAAGCCTTCACTTCTCAATAGGGGCGGATCATCTGATATGGTCTGGGGTAATATGAAGACACAGATATTAATATTAAGCAGCCTTCTCAAGAGCAGCCCAAAGCAGAGGCGTAGTGACGCCATTCGTCCAGGCTCTGGAGACCTCGGCCTGGGCAACGCTTTGCCATGCCTCACCATACATTGATGCACCTCTTCCAGACTTGCTCCCGGTGCTGGATGAAGGCAGTCCTTGTACCATGGTCCAGCCTCCCAGGGGCTTTCAGGGGATCCTTGGTCAGGTGTAGCACAGGAAGATTGATCCACTATACCTCAGAAATGGGCAAGGGAGACAGTCAGTGTCCTCCCCAGATTTCACCAGCACTCCCAGCCATCTCCAAACTTTGGCTGGACTAGACAGAACGGACACGGCCCCATTTCCCATATCCGCAAATGTAACACTTGTGGGGCAGAAAAAAACAACTTTTGGCCCTTATCTGCAAACCCCAATCGTTTTTCACAGGGCTGACATTGGGAAAGACCTGACGGAGAGCATCCTCCATCTTCTCTCTACCTCTTCTGGAGCCTCCTCGCATGCCCCGGCATCCCTTCCAAGCCAACACCAGCCCTAAAGCACAGTTCGTTCTCTCTACTCTCGCGTGGGCAAGCCGTCTCCAACCTCCGAGCCCCGCCGCGCCGCCCCTGCTGAGCCCCACTTTGCGCGGAGCCTCGCTGCACCCCCACCCGGACCACCTGGCCCCGGAAGTCGGGAGGCGGGCTCTCGTAGCTGTCGCCGGTCACCAGCTCGTTGTTGTGCTCGTACAGGGTGACCTGGCCCCTCGGCGGCGGCGGGGGAAACAAGCCCAGGGAGCACATCGCGCCCGTCCGGAGCCGTAAGGAGCGGACAGGCTGCCCCGACGCTCCGTTCCCGGGCTAGATTCGTACGCGGACGGGAGGCCGCGAGGGACAAACGGCTGCGCGAAGCTCAGCGGAAGTGCAGTGGGGCGGACTTCCGGAACTTCCCGGCGCGCCCCCTTGCGGACGCAGCGGGCACGGCGCTGACGCGTCCAAGGGCCAGCCTGTGCTCAAGCGGCCCGCGGTTTGGTTTTGGTTTGTTTCCCGGAGGACTACTGTTTTTTCCAACTCCGAATCCCCAGCAACGGCTCCCACTCACTTACTTAGTGCGGAAAAAGCCAAAAATAAGCCAGGTTTAGGAAAGTACCTAATTAAACTGCCCAGCGGCCGTGAATAGCCCTCAGGAAAATACAGACTGTCATCCTGTCACTGCAAGGACTTTAGCAGACAGTGCTGAGCCTGCTGAACCCAGAGCCACAGACGGGGGAAGGAGTCCTCAAAGAGAAAGACGACACTGGAAAAACAGCATTTCCTGCGCCCATTACTATAAGCGCTTTCATTAATCCTTACAAAAACCCCTGACATGCACCGTTGACCTGCGCAGCGAGGGACACAGGTTGAACCTGAGAATGCACAAACCACACCCTGGCAGGGTAGGTTGGCCCGAGTCTGTTAATGCCTGCAGGATGTGGCGATGGGGAGAAGGGGGAACAAGGTCAGTGTGGGCTACGCACCTGGAAATCTCAGTGACTCCTGCCTGTAATCCCAGCACAGGGCAGGTGGACGTGGAGGAGCCAGAGTTCAAGGTCCATTTCATAGTTCTCTTCCAGCTTGAAATGCATACCATTTTGCCTTTGTTTTGTTTGGGCTTTGCTTCCTCGCTCTGAGGCAGGGCTTTGCTATGTTGATCTGACTGGACTGGAACTTCCTATATGGAGCTGCCTAGTCTCAAACTCAGATCTGCCCACCTCTATCTCCCAAGTGCTTAGATTAAAGATGTACCACTATGCCCTCCTGAGACCCTGTGGGGTGGGGGAAAGGGAGGGAGGGAGAGAGAGATCTAGAGAAGAATGGGAGGTGAGATAATTGGTTACTCTTGTCAACTTGATTCTGATCAATGGTTCTAATCAGTCTGAATATTGGGAGGGAAGTGGTGAGCCTGTGAGCCTCACAGGAATAGCACCCTCAGAGGGTGCACCTGGGCCTGGCTCCTCCCCGTGATACCCTCCCTCTGCTTCCTGGCCACTAGGAATACGCAACCGTTTCCACCTGCTCCTGCTACCCCATCCTACTCTACCTTATGAATATGTTTCCACCTGCTCCTGCTACCCCATCTGACTCTACCTTATGAATATGTTTCCACCTGCTCCTGCCGTGGCACCTACCTCATCTGAAGCCCAAAAAATGATTCACCTAACCTTTAAACCTCTGAAGCCAAGTCTGACTTTCCTCCTTTAAAGTATTTTTTATCAGCCAGGTATAGGGGTGCATGACTTTAATCCCAGCACTCAGGGAGGCAGAGGGAGGGAGATGGATGTGAGTTCAAGGCTAGTCTGGCCTACAAAATGACTACTCAGAGAAACTGTCTTGAAAAACAAAAGATTTTGCTGAGGGGCATGGCGCTGCTGTATGCGTGCCTAGGGCGCCAACACTGTTGTTTTTAATGTGTATTCCTGTTTTTCCCGTCCGGGGCGATGTGGGCCACACGCAGGGAGTGTCCACAGAGGCCAGTGGAGGGCCTGGAGTTGCCGGTTGTGAACCCATCCTGTAGACGCTGGAAAAGGAACCAGGCTCCTCTGCGGGAGCAGTAAGTCTCTTAGCTGTTCCTCCAGCCCCAAAGAACTTTTTTTTGAAGACAGGGTTTCTCTGTGTAGCCCTGGCCTCAAACTCTCGGAGATCCGCCTGTCTCAACCCCCTGAGTGCTGAGAGAAAAATTCAAAGCTGGAGGCTGGAGAGACGGCTCAGAGGTCAAGAGCACTGTCTGTTCTTCCAGAGGACCTGAGTTCAGTTCCACATGGTGGCTTACAACCATCTATAGTGAGATCTGGTGCTCTCTGCTGGCCACAGGCACACAGGCAGGCAGAACACTATAAATAATAATAAACAAGTTAAAGCTGTGTTCAGCTCAGGCCCCACAGCCCGTCCTTCTAGCCTCCCTGAAGAGTGGTGAGGGCAATAACAGAATTCTGTTTCTGGTGCCCTGTGCTTCTGTGTCTGTCTTGCCTTTCTATATAAACGGTCCTTCCAGAGATGTTGCCAGGTCCGAGGATAAAGATATTCAGAGGGTACCTGAAGTACACTTTCTGAGGAAAGCTTTGCCGCTGTTTTTGATCTATTCACTGGGACAGCAACTCACACAGCTCTGCCTTCCTCTCTCTGAGTGCTGGGATCAGAGTCATGTGCTACCATGCTGGACTTGCCTCTAACCTTGTACTCCTCAAATGTTAAGGGATGTGGGAGTCACCTGAGATTTTCTGTTTTTTTTAATTTTTAATAAATTTGCTGGTGGAGCTGAAGTGGCTCAGCAGTTAAGAGCATTTGGGGCTCTTCTAGAGGACTGGCATTCTGTTCCAGAATTTCCATCAGGCAGCTCACAGCCTCCTGGAACTCTACTCCAAAGGATTCAACACGAAAAATAAAACTAAATGAATCTTTAAAAACTTTGCTGGGCATGATAGCACATGCCCTTAATTCTAACACTCAAGAGGCAGAGGCAGGGGGATTGCTGTGACTTTGAGGTCAGCTTCATGTACATATCCAGTTTCAGAACACCCAGGGCGACATAGATCATTTCTCAAAAAAAAAAAAAAAAAAAAAAAGAAAAAAATTTTTTTTTTTTCTTTTGGGGGGGGGGGGGGGGGGGGGGGGAAGTTGATTGATTGCATGCAGAAGAGGGAGTAGGATCCCTGAAAGTGGAGTTGCAGCCTTGGTATTGGCTCTGGGGGGTCAAAACAGTCCTCTGCAAGAGTAGTAAGAACTCTTAACCACTGCGCTATTTCTCAGTGAATTAAAAAAAAAAAAAAAAAGTTGCAAGCAGCAGTGGCGCAGACCTGTAATCCCAGCACTCCAGGAGGCAGAGGCGGGCAGATTGCTATGAGTTTGAGATCGGCCTGGTCTACAAAGGGAATTCCAGGACAGCCAAGGCTATGCAGAGAAACCCTGTCAAAAAAGAATAAAAAACTGTTTTTTTGAAGATTCTAGGCTCTCAAAATTATAGTTCCAGAGACTCCTCAGATATAACTCTGCTACCAATGTTGACGTGTAGCCCAGGCCGACAGACCTTAAACTCTGAAGAGCCAGTGTTAGAAGCGTGCAGCTTTAAGCAACCAAGCTCTAACGTTCTCCTGTTAGCCTGGCTAACTCGATGAGTCAAGTCTCTGTCTGCGAAGTCACCTAACGAGCACCTGGCTAGGAGAGCCCCCCAAGATACTGCTGCCAACAGTATCCAGCGCCTCCGGGTGAAGGCGGCCCTCACGCCCGTCCGTCACCCTCGGGTTGTTATCTGCTGGGCGTCTGTTCAGCCTTTAGTGTGTCCTCGTTCGAGCACGGCCCTCGTCTTCCACGCTGCTAACTGAACATTTTTTAAAACTGTTTTTACAATTTGCGGGTTCTAGGGAGGCCAAAGTCCAGGCCTAGCGCGCTGCCCCACTAGAGGGCGCGTCTGCCCGGGCAGTGCAGCGCCCACCGCCCCGGGGCAGCCACCCCGGCGTAGTCACCGCCGCTCCTCCTGCGACCCGAGCGGGAAGCCCCGGGCAGGCCAAGCCGCGGCCGGGCCCTTCTCAGCGGCCCCCACGGTTTGGGGGCATCGCGGGAGCCCGAGCTCGCCCTCCGGAGCCGGGCGCCCGGGCCGGTAACCAGGCGCACATGGCCCGCCCGGCCCTGTTTGTCCTGGCGTCGCGCCGCCGCTATTTGAGGCGGTTTTTATCTCCAGAAACCAGCAAAACCCCAAGCCGAGTCTGCAAGATGAAAGGGGCCGAGGGGCCTGGGAGGGGAGGACCGCGAGGCTGCGGCGGGCGGGCGCTGGCACCGGCCAGGCGGAGCCTGCGAGGCGACAGCCGCCCCTGGGGGGTCCTGTGCGCCCCGGCGCCCCCGGTCTCCGCCGGCAGCCCCCGCCGCTCCACAATCTTCGCCGCTCCGCTTTCCTCCGGCGCCGCACCCTGCCGGAGGGCCGGGCACCTCGCACCTGGGCACGGGTCGGCCCCGCGCCTCCGCGCCCGCAACGAGGTGGGCCGGGCCGGGCGCCCTCCGCACCGCCTCGGCCCGGCGGGGGAGCCTGGGGGCGCCGGCCGCACAAAGCCCTATTGTGGCCGGGGCCGGCCGCCACAGAGTGGCTTTTGTTCTTCCACTGACTCCGAGGCAGGCACGGCTGGTTGCAGGCCCCGGGCAGGGGGTGGGTGCGCGCCAGGCGGGTCAGCCAGCCCGGAGGTCAGCCGCGCCGCGCTCGTCCACACCGCCAACGCACGCCTCGGTGCGTGCAAGCGTCGCTGGCACCGACGAGAAAGAGCCCTGCAGAAAGCGCTCGCCTTCCGACCCTGCGGATAGCCCTAGGCGCCTCAAAGTTCAGCTTGGTGTTGCCTTCCTGCTGGAACTTTCGGAGCGCAGCAGCTCCGGATTAAACACCTCCCGCAGGAAGCCCGCGCTTCACCAAGGAAATGTCCCGTGGCCCAGCCATCTCCCTCCTCCACCCCTTTCTCACCAGACACAACGTCAAATCGAACTTTTATTTATTAAATTAAAAAAAAAGAAAGACTCCACAAGGGGATGATCCTTTCAACGATGTTTCCCTCTTCCCAGAATCCACTGCTTTACCCTCTATCTTGGGGCCTAGAAGGAGCAGAGGACAGAAGAAGATCCAAAAGTCTCAGGAAAGGCATTCAAAGGCACAAAGCGGCTTTAAAAGTCACTGGAAAGGAGCGGAAACTCCTAGATTGGGGGCCTGTGGCTGTACCCCCAAATCAGTTTAGGAACCTCTGTCCTGCTATAAATCCTTTCTCATGGCTTCTAGGCACCAGGCCTTGCACATAGTAGGCGTTCAATAAATACTTGATTTATTTGAATTTGATCCCAGAGAAAGCCTTTCCCCACCTGTTTTTCAGGAGGGGCACCTCCAAACCAAAGTCCTCCTGTCAGGTGGGCTGTCCCCCAAAGAGCACGTTTCAGCGGCAGCGGCGAGCTCTCCATAACCCTGACAGCAGGGGCTAGCCTGATGAGGTCACAGGGTGTGAGAAGAGGGACGGTGGAGAGAGCTGGGGTACATTCCGGCCCTCCCCTCCGCAGGACATGAAGTTTCACAGCTTCTGGCTGGGGCTGGAACTCCACTGAGAAAGAGACCGCCGTGACAGAAATCTACGAACAAGATCTCCACTATGGTTTTGTACAGAGATGCACTTGACTAGAACTTCCTTAGCCAAAAATAAAGAATGGATCCCTTTCCCTCTCCAGCTCACTCTACCTGACCCGTCATGATAACTTAGATAAATAGAATTATTATTATTATTATTATTATTACTATTCTTTACTCCTGGTGCTTGGGGTTAAGTAATCAAGACTGGGGCAGCCTCCCTGACCTTGGGGTTACCCCATCGTTGGGATCAGATCCCCACTGGTCTGTCCGTTCTTGGCACTCTGCTCGCAGCCGGGTTACTAACACCAATCTCCCTAACTCCGGTTCCTAACGAAGAACCCACCAGGGGGCAATAAATTATCATCATCATTGTGTTTGTTAAAAAAAAAAAAAAAAAAAAGAAACAAAAAAAAAAAAACAAAAAAAGAAAAAAAAGAAAAAAAAAAAGTGATTGTGTGAAAAAAAAAAAAAAAAAAAAAAAAAAAAAAAAAAAAAGCTCAAAGGAATGGAAATGGAAAGCGC